ACATACAGACTGGTACATACAGACTGGTACAGGCACATACAGACTGGTACATACAGACTGGTACAGGCACATACAGACTGGTACATACAGACTGGTACAGGCACATACAGACTGGTACAGTATGAAAATCAAATGTAATTTATGGACGTAATTATGGGCTGTAGCAGTGCTGGCTAACTGTGGAAGGACGGCTTGTAAAGATGCTCATCCTCTGTGTTGACTTTTGTTCTTCACTTGCTCATTGATTGTGTTTATCTCTAACACAACCACGACGTGATACCTTTAACCACACAATCCTGGGAGTGTCTCTGAATGCGCTGGTGTATTTTTTCAGTTATTGTCTCCTGTTTGTGTGACAGAGTAAATAACAACATCTTATTATTATTATTATTATTATTATTATTATTACTACAGTGTCATAAAATAAGGAATAACTTTATTTTTCCTGAGGGAAACTGCTGTGTTGCAGTTGGGATACAAGGTTCAAGGTGTGCAGCATACAAGCAGTGAAACAACAAAGTATGAAAGGTATGTAAATATAAACTGAATATAAAACTAGCTGACAGATGAGTGCAGTCTGATACATAAACAGGCTCAGTGAGGACGATACAGACTGTTTGCTTTGCTTCTTTTTATATGATCGATAAATAAGTGTGTGTGTGGGGGGGGTCCCTTTTAATGACTGACTGATTGATTGATTGATTGATTGATTGATTGATTGATTGGGGGTGGAGGGGGTCATGACAAAGACAGTTTTTGAACCTCTGCTGTGAGGCCTGATCACCGGAGGAGGGCGCATGCGTGAGAGGCAGTGATCCGTCTCTTTGGCGCGCTGCCTGCGTGCCCCTGCAGAGTGTGCGTGCTGGCGCAAAGCGCGGCCTTCCGCTCTGTGCTCGTCCTCATCAACAACAACAACAACCGGACAAAGTGTCTACCGGCTGCCGGTGCGCTGACACACCCAGAAGAACACGCTGACACTGGCCCGCTGTGACGGTAAGAGTCCGCTCCCTTTGCTCCACGCTCTCCTGTTCCCGCCGCCGTTACCGCGGGGATGCCTGCGCGTTCTCGAGCCGTTCATGGCCGCTCGAGCCCCGTCTCGCTCGTGTTGGCGAGGCCGCGGCGCCGCTGCTCGCGTGCCTGCGTGTCGGTCCCGGGGACGGCGGAGCCAGCACGCGGCCCGCTCACCGTCCGGCCGGTGATGGTGTCGGATGGTCCGCAGGTTTAACGGAGAAAGTAGTTCACGGGTAAACGCCATTTTGTGTGTGAGCGGAGCAGCAGGCCGGACTGTCCGCCATTTAACGTTAAATCAAACACCGAGTTTCACCGTAAAAACACCAGGCACACCTCATCCGGTACACACTAACGTCTGAACGTAACGGTTGTGAATCATCACCGGCGACTATGTTGGTCACCGTGTGGCCGGTTTATCCCCTGGTAACGCTGAAGTAGTTAATGTTTGATTAGCATGTTAGCTCCAGCACGTCCTACAGGCTAACGTTAGCCTCCCCGCTGCCGTAACACCGTCAGCAGACTCCATTAAACGGTTGTCCTCCGGCTGATAGGCCGCCTGGGCTAACGTTAAAACGGTTCAGTCCGGTTCTGACGATCGGCTCAACTAAACTGATGTTAGCCTCGCAGCTGCTAGCCCGTTAGCCTAACATTAAGCTAGCCCTCTTCTTTCCGGTTTCAGTGACCCACAGTCAGACTCGGTGTCCGGCAACAGTCCGGGGTTAGACCCGCTGCGGGTGTTCACACTTAAAAACCCGGTCTACTCCGGTAAATAACGTCGGTATGCTCCGTGCTCACAGCGAGCCTGTCTCCCGTCCGTCCCCCCGGTTCACTTTAATGCATCGTGCACACGCTCCGGTGCGCGTGTCCGCGATACAAGAGGTACATGAACTATTGGAACCACACTGGGCACAAAGAGGCACTGTCCCACCATGCGAGACACAGAGACACTGTCCCACCATGCGAGACACAGAGACACTGTCCCACCATGCGAGACACACAGACACTGTCCCACCATGCGAGACACACAGACACTGTCCCACCATGCGAGACACAGAGACACTGTCCCACCATGCGAGACACACAGACACTGTCCCACCATGCGAGACACACAGACACTGTCCCACCAGGCGAGACACAGACACTGTTAAAAGTGCCTTATAACCTCCCTCCATTTTCTAAACAGGCTTTTATTGTGAAACATTTACAGGAAGTTGTTGGGGAGGATTCAGTAGCTTGTATGTTTGCGTACGGTGCTTCAAATGTAGCTCCTGCCATCTGCTGGTGCTTTTAGGTGACTACAACAACAGTTCAGTGTCAATTCAAAAAAGAAGAAATATACGTCATCAGTAGTCGTTGATAAAAAGACGCAACGTTTCTTTTTTTGTTTATTTGTTTTTTTTCCAACACTTTATTTCAATTCTTGTACAAAACAAGCAGTGACAGACATGAACAGAACAAATATGCGAGAGAAAAGAAAAAGAAATAAAATAAACAAATAAATAAAAGTTCAGCAGCTCAAACAATTAAATTGTTTACATATTTTCAGTCTTTAAAGCTTTGGAGTTTGAGGAGTGCTGAATGGTTTCAAAGTATTGCTGCATTTCATTCATAAAAATTTTGAACAAGGGTTTTCTGTTACAAAATCTTCTTTTATGAATATGGAATTTCGCTAAGATAATAGATAGATTAATGATATAGAATTGTTTTTGTTTTGAAATGCTGACATCATAAAATCCAAACAGCACATCTTTGTACAGTAGTGAAAATAGAACATACATGTTGCAACGAATATACTCGACAAAATCTCCCCAAAAAGTGACAGTATAGAGGCAGCAAAACAAATGTACAGTTACCAAACAACAATTTTCGACAATGCCGTCTGCAGCTGTGCTGATTTCATATTGAAACAGAATGCTTGATCATTAGGGGAACAGTTGCCGTTGTGACTGAGAATTATGTTATGAATATGAACAGTTCACAAGTTACAAATTACTCACTCCCATAGTTTTTTTGGAGCCTGCTTGCTTTTTGTAAACTTGTCTTCATTGGTGGCCCTGAAATGTTAGCTAACCAAAAGAATATGTGTGTTACGCTACAAAGCGGTCTATAGTCCATAAAATGACGTTAAACTAAGATAATGCAATGGTTATCATACTTTTAAAACTACTATTAACGAGGAAAATACTCACATTGATAACTTGCTTCCTTACGCTTGTCGCCGCCATCTTGCATTGACTGAATCGTCTGTACTCGGCCAGGTTCGGCTGAGCTCGGCGGATAATGCACAAAGGATTCTGGGATAGCACTTATTGCCAAGGGTGGTCCTGGAAAATCTTAAAAATGAGAGCCATACAGCCCATATTCTTGACCCTCAACTCAACACTAGCACTTCGTGGGAGCGCAGATTTTTGAGACTGAGGGTTAAGATAGGAATTGGGATTGGGCCTTGGTCCAGCTCCCATTTACATTATTTTGCGCGACGGACGCTTCATATAATAACACAACAGTATACTGTTTATGGTGTTATGTCATCGTGTCATTTCTGTCTCTACATGGTCACGCGTTAACAATTCTCCTCTGCTCTCTGTATCGCACATGGCAGAGTTCCGCCACACACACAGGTGAGCATGCTAGAGCGGCTCGGGCCGCATTTTCCTGACCAAACCTGACCCCAAGCCCGGTGCAGTTTGTCAGCTGACAAAGTTATTGTTATGGACAGTGTGTAAATAACCAACAGACTGCTGTTACGCACAGACAAACATGCTGCTCGCACAGCAGCGCAGCACGGCACTCATGCTGAGCTTGTGTTGCGTTCAGGCGTTGTCACGTACATAACAACTTCCAGCACTTGAATAGGTCATAGCACAAAACAGCAGCATGTCAAGTGACTTTTTACTTTCATTATATTCAATAAAATTGTATGTTCCTAAATCTTGAGACACCTCATATGTAAGCTAGACAGACATTTCACCTGCTCATTACTGTGCACACATGTACTGTATGTACTTAGTCCTAAAGAGCCCTTCTGGTGCCAGTAGATACATAGAAACATCCCAGCAGGCTGTGCTTTGCAAGCATACAAAAAAGTTTCACGCATGTGAAAATTATTTTTCATGCGTGTGCTTCACCTCCGCTGCTACAACTCCATCCTAGAGGAAACACTGCTGTGTGCGTTTTGTGCAACAGGTGGATGTGGTAGTCTACTGGTAGAGTAGAGAGAGAGCTAAGTAGCGTTGAAGTACAGTAGAGCAGGGCAGAGAGATGGAAGCAAAATATATTAAACCTGGTGTTAATACAGCAGAACTGGAGAGAGGGGTGAAAAATAAATAGAGGTGGGCATGGCTCAAGTAGGGCGCAAAATTATAGACGGAGAATGATTGACAAAGATTGCCGCAGGTGAGGACAGATATTAAATGGTTAAAGGAATATTTACAGAGTAAGACCTAGTTTGAAATTAATTCCCACATGTATTTCAGAATTACTGATTTTCCTTATCACCTTGACGCTAGAGGTTAATTCGTGTCAACATGACCAGAACTTGGTGGTTCAGAGTTCTGATATTGATCATTTAATTTCTGATTTTGATAATGAATTTAAGGACTGGCGTTGTTCCCTGGGTGCCACCCACTGCAGGAGATGACCTCTTTCCCTTGTCATCAGGTGTTTTTGGTTCTTTGGTTTGGTTCCTTAATCGAATAGGAGAGGATATTTAAGTCAGTGATTAAAACAAGTGATCTTACTCCTAAACAATCTGTCCCCCTCATTTCTGAAATGATGGCTACACCCCTGCACAGAGCCTGGCTGCATCCCAAGTCTCTTACTGCTAACCACCTTATCTAACTGTTTAGTCCCTCCCACTTAGGAAACATGCAAGGAGTCAGGAGTTAGGAGTGAGGAGCGAGGATTGCTGATTAAGAGACATGAGACGGCCTTACTCTGAAGCGTCACGTAAAGCGGTGTCCTATTCTGGTGACGGCACGACAGCTGGATCTGCTGCATAACGTAGCCAGCGTTTGGCGTACATCCCAAGTCACATTATATTCGCTGATCAAAGCCGTAACAATGAAAGTAATAATATTAATTAATATTAATATTAATAATTAATATTACCTACAGGCTATTAAACATTATTCCACTCACATGACATGCAGGACAATTAATGATGGGCAAGTGTGTGTGTGTGTGTGTGTGTGTGTGTCTGTGTGTGTGTGTGTGTGTGTGTGTGTGTGGTTCTGGACATGAGCAGCTGCACATTTAACAGCCACACATCACAGACAGTCCGCTGAACAACGCAACGGGTTGTGAATGAAATAAACTTAATTACAACATGACAGTCTTGCAGGAAATATCATTAACGTTACTCTTTGTAGTCACGTAGGCATGTGAATTACAGCGTGTCATTGCAAAGAATGCATGTAACGGGTACACTTGAGCTGTTTCTCCGCCATCTCGTTCAAATGAGCCAGATGTAGGGGGCGGGTATTTAGACGTCATGGCTTCAAGCTGAAAAAGACTTCCTGTTAGGAACCTCTTGTGTTACCCTACTCATCACACCTAACAGATCCCTCCTAACTCCTAACGCTAACTCCTTACTGGCAGGAATAAGAGACATGAGACGGCCTTAAAGATGGCGGACCTCGAACGACTTCCGGATCAAGTCAGGAGTTAGGAGTTAGTATACAATTAAGAGACTTGGGATATAGCCAATGTCTTCATCCAGATATCTGAAGGTCAGAGGTCAAGGGACCTTTCTGGAAAGGGCCATGCTGTTTTTCTCTTCACCAAAATTTAGCCTAACTTTGGAGCATTATTTAGCCCCTTCCTGAGATGCTAGCATGACATGGTTGGTACCACTGGATTCTTCAGGTCTTGTTTCATATGATGACTTTAACTACAAAAACTTTATAGTAACTAGAAATATGAATAGTAATAAAAGTAGTGGACAGGTCACGTCTAGAAACAGCAACATTCGCAAAAACAGAAAACCATATAAACGTGACACATACAAAACAATAATAAGCAACATTAGCTAAATTTGCTTAGAATATAATATTAAGTAAGTTGTTAAATAACAGTGCATCCCTCAAAACATGTGATGGTGATTTTACTGCGTCCTTTCATATTTTAATGCGTTAGAGACGCAGGACGTGTACCTAGCAACATCACTGAGATCTGTGTTGAATTCCACAGTTTGGTTCTTGTGTGTCAGTAAATCTTTACACCCAGGTTGATAAACTCATAGGTTATGTACTTTGGTGAAACCAGGAAAACATGGTGGACACACGAGACCAGTCCAGTAACCAGGGAGTGATTCTGTTTCTGAAATTATTAACGCTTTGAGTTGTTTATTTTGTGTGAACTGAGCCTTTAATCAAACACCTGATGTTTTCCTTGACTGTGTTCAGATGGCGGAGATGGTGAAGTACGTGGACGATGAACATAAGAGCATCTTCTTGAAGCTGCTGAACGAACAGCGACTGGAGGGCGAACACTGCGACATCGCCGTGGTGGTGGAAGACGTCAAGTTCCGTGCTCACCGCTGTGTGCTCGCCGCCTGCTCCAACTACTTCAAAAAACTCTTTAAAAAACACGAGGTACTTTTGAATACACACACGTACATTTACAAATACAAGGTACAAATACTTAAAAAGTGTGAATTATCTCCAAATACTTGAAAGAAAAAACACAAGGTATTAATTAATACACGTATACATTTAAAAGTACTTCAAAAACACAAGCTACTCTCCAAATACTTAAAAAAACTATAAAAGCACATAAGGTACTCTCTAACTGCTTCAGCTTCAGAAAAATGTGAGGTTGTCACACAAAGTACTTCCAATACTGAAGTACATAAAGTAAACATGAGTACTGTCCAAAAACATCACAAAACACATTTTACTCTCCAAACTGTTAAAAAAGAAAACATGACTTACTCTTCACATTCTTCAAAAAAGTCACAAGTCCAAATACTGAAAAAAAACAGGAGGTGCTCTCCAGTGTACTTCAAAAACAAAAGGTACTTTTCAGTGCACACATGTACACGTGAAAGACTTTAAAAAACTCAAGGTCTCTCCAGATACTTATAAAACATGAAGTCAAGTATAGTGCTGTCAAAACATGTAGAAAACAGTGGTATTGAATCTCTACCAAGAATCCCGTTGTACTCTCCAAGTACTTGAAAAACTGTTTATCAAGTATTAATTATTGTGTCCAAATTTCTCAAAAAACACATGGCACTCACCAAATACTTGAAAAACTGAAGCACGAAACACGAAGTACTTCCCAAATATATCAGACAACATAGTATTCTCCTCAAACTCCTCACAAAACACAAGGTGCTCTCCAAATATGTAAAAATACACAAAACACTCCGGCAGTACTTGAAAAACGTAAGAAACATGAAGAATTGTCAAATACAGCAAAAAAAGGTATTCTCCAGTCTCCTCAAATAACACATTGTACTATCCAAAGAAAAAAATTCTCCAAATTCTTTAAAAAACACATGGCATTCTCCAAATACTTTTAAATCTATGCAGAAAATATGAATTATTGTCCAGATACTTCAAAGAAAACATGGCACACTCCCAATTCTTCAAAGATCACAAGGTACTTTCCAAATACTTTAAATAACTAAAGGTACTGTCCAAATAATTTAATTAACTTAATTAACAGTCCAAAAACTGTTACGAAAACATGGATCACTTTAAAGAATACAAAAATTCTCCAAACACTTCAAAAGCTACTCTCCAAATGTCTCAGCCAGCAGCTCAGTGTAAAGTATGTTAAGATAAGTGTCAAACTAAGTCAGTCTCCAAACAGACAGCTGTCATTAGAGCTCATTAGGAACAGTTCACTATCAGCTGGACTAGCGTGCTGTCCTTGTGTCAGACATAACGTTAGTGACGGTGGATGAGAGACTGTGGGCGGAGCCTATTGAATATCACTGTCTACATGTTAATGCTGCTGAACACATGTATTTAGAAAGTATTGGCTTCTTACTAAGGATTAATGTCACTTATAGTAACAAGTGTAGCTGCCGTCAACTAGAGTCATTTACGAGTTATCTTCACTTTGTTTCCACCGTGGCCGCTCAGCTGTTCACCGGTTACTGTGTGTGTGTGTGTGTGTGTGTGTGTGTGTGTGTGTGTGTGTGGGGAGGAGTTCAGCACTGGCACAGAGGAGAACCGATACCATAAGCGCTTATCAATACTACGCTCTTGATAATTTAGCCCCGGGGCTAATTTAGTACCGGGTTTCAGTACCCACCCTTAATCAAAACACAAGCGAAGTGAAGCTTCTAAAAATGAAATAAAATTTGCAGCGGCTCCCCGTGCCAGGAAGTGCAGAACGCTCTAAGTGTGTGTTCCACCACTCAGCGTTCTTCAGCACACAGCCCCGCCCCTCAAGAATTCCAGGTAATCTGAAAAGTCCTACTCCCCTACTAGGTACTTTTTTCAGGGAAAGTTTGGGGTTGAGGGAAAGTTTTTCCCTGGGTAATTTCGGTGGAAATGCGCCGAGGTTTTCAAAATCCTAGGTAAATGAGAAAGTTCCTGTGGTGGAAAAGTTGCAAATGTATTCTCCAAACTTCTCTAAAACACACGGTACTCTCAAAACTCTTCAAAAACTGTTTAGAACATTTGAAGCACTGCTGAAATACTTCAGATAATACATGACACCCTCCAAGCTCTTCAGAAAACACAAGGAACTCTCCAAACTCATAACATCTTTAACTCTTACACTAAGTCTCAAGGTAAGTGCTGTTCAAATTCTTTAAGAAATACAGGTACTACTCAGATTCTTTGAAAACACCCAAGGTACTTTCCAAATACTTCAATAAACACATTGTACCTCTCAAAAACACAAGGTACTATGTTTGGAAAATTTCTTCAAAGAACGCAGCTTACCTTAATTCAGAAACATACAAGTAAACATGGATCACTCTCCAAATACTTCAAAGAACACATGGTACCCTCCAAACTCTTGAAAGAACATAAGGTACTCTTTAAACTCTCCAAAGAACACACTAGGTACTCTCAAAACAATTCAAAAACTGTTAAGAAAACATGGATCACTGGCTAAAAACTTGAAAAAAAACCCTCTTAGTACACTCGAAACTCTTTTAAGAACACAAGGTATTCTCCAAATAATTTAAGGAACTGAAGATGATCTCCAAACACTTGAAAAATGTTATGAAAACACAAATCACTCTCCAAATACTTCAACTACTCTCCAGTACTCTAAGAGACGGTTCAAAAAACGTGAAGTACTGCCCAAATGCTTCAAAGACACATGGTATACTCAAAATACTTCAGAAACAGTTCAGAAAATGTGTTTCTGTCTGACTACTTTGAGAAACATGTGTCTCTCTCCAAACTCTTAAAAGATACAAGGTACTGTCTAAGAACTCTTTAGAAAATATGATGTACTCAGGGTTTTCCCTGGGTTTTTTTGGAGACCAAGGTGGCAAAGGCCTGTGGCGGGGGGCATCTTGACAGCTGTACTTTTAGATACGCCCCCCCTCTATTAAATATAAAAGGAGGCCCCACATGCTTGAGCTTTACACTGCTGACTTGTATCATCAGAACAGACATGTCCTGTGATTTTCAGCCTTCTGTGATTATATTTACTCTTTACAACAGGCACATCCTGACAGCTGAGAATATTACTGTCAGGTATTGTCCCCCCTCTATTAAATATGAAAGGAGGCTGAAAATCACAGGACATGTCTGTTCTGATGATACAAGTCAGCGGTCCTGAAATGTGTGTTTCTCTTCTATAATACACATTCTACATCTTGGAGACGACGTCTTTCCACATACGGGCTTCCTTCACCTTTTAAACAGGGCAGAGCTCCGTGGGAAACAGTAGGAGAGACACAGCCCGAGGAGGAACCAGGATCTAACACAACACTGGACAGTTTTAGATAGGCAGGGAAAACCCTGGTACTGTTGAAATACTTCAAAAATAAACTCACTAAACTGCTCAAAAAACACATGGCATTCTCCAAACAGTTACAAATCTCTGTTTAGAGAACATGAATCACTCTGCAAATACCTCAAAGAAATAAAGGTACTCAGCAGAACTGAAAACATAAAGTACTCTGCAGTACTTTATGAAACAGTTTAGAAAACGTGAACTACTGTCCAAAAATTTCAGAAAACACAAGTTCAATATTGTCCAAACAGACACAAGGTCGGTACTGTCCAAAGGCGTAGGAAAAACAGATTTCACTATCCAAATACTAAAAAAAAAAAAAGTAAATAAATAAATAAATTCAGTGTACTCCAAACTTCTCAAAATCACAGACTACTATCCAGATATTTCAAAATGCACAAGGCACCCTCAAAACTCTCAAAAAGTACTGTTGAAATACTTAAGAAATATATGGTACTCATCAAAACCTTTTCACAAAACACAGGGTACTCTCCAAATTCTTGAAAAACATATGGTGCTATCCGAGTATTTTAAGAAACTAATACTATTGACACACTAAAGAGAACATTACACTCTCCACATACTAAAGAACAGTTTGTACTCTCCAGACTCCTGAAAAACACAACTTACCATCCAAATATTTCAAAATACCCAGAGAACTCTCCAAACTACAGTACAGGCCAAAAGTTTGGACACACCTTCTCATTCAATGCGTTTTCTTTATTTTCATGACTATTTACATTGTAGATTCTCACTGAAGGCATCAAAACTATGAATGAACACATGTGGAGTTATGTACTTAACAAAAAAAGGTGAAATAACTGAAAACATGTTTTATATTCTAGTTTCTTCAAAATAGCCACCCTTTGCTCTGATTACTGCTTTGCACACTCTTGGCATTCTCTCCATGAGCTTCAAGAGGTAGTCACCTGAAATGGTTTTCCAACAGTCTTGAAGGAGTTCCCAGAGGTGTTTAGCACTTGTTGGCCCCTTTGCCTTCACTCTGCGGTCCAGCTCACCCCAAACCATCTCGATTGGGTTCAGGTCCGGTGACTGTGGAGGCCAGGTCATCTGCCGCAGCACTCCATCACTCTCCTTCTTGGTCAAATAGCCCTTACACAGCCTGGAGGTGTGTTTGGGGTCATTGTCCTGTTGAAAAATAAATGATCGTCCAACTAAACGCAAACCGGATGGGATGGCATGTCGCTGCAGGATGCTGTGGTAGCCATGCTGGTTCAGTGTGCCTTCAATTTTGAATAAATCCCCAACAGTGTCACCAGCAAAACACCCCCACACCATCACACCTCCTCCTCCATGCTTCACAGTGGGAACCAGGCATGTGGAATCCATCCGTTCACCTTTTCTGCGTCTCACAAAGACACGGCGGTTGGAACCAAAGATCTCAAATTTGGACTCATCAGACCAAAGCACAGATTTCCACTGGTCTAATGTCCATTCCTTGTGTTTCTTGGCCCAAACAAATCTCTTCTGCTTGTTGCCTCTCCTTAGCAGTGGTTTCCTAGCAGCTATTTGACCATGAAGGCCTGATTGGCGCAGTCTCCTCTTAACAGTTGTTCTAGAGATGGGTCTGCTGCTAGAACTCTGTGTGGCATTCATCTGGTCTCTGATCTGAGCTGCTGTTAACTTGCGATTTCTGAGGCTGGTGACTCGGATGAACTTATCCTCAGAAGCAGAGGTGACTCTTGGTCTTCCTTTCCTGGGTCGGTCCTCATGTGTGCCAGTTTCGTTGTAGCGCTTGATGGTTTTTGCGACTCCACTTGGGGACACATTTAAAGTTTTTGCAATTTTCCGGACTGACTGACCTTCATTTCTTAAAGTAATGATGGCCACTCGTTTTTCTTTAGTTAGCTGATTGGTTCTTGCCATAATATGAATTTTAACAGTTGTCCAATAGGGCTGTCGGCTGTGTATTAACCTGACTTCTGCACAACACAACTGATGGTCCCAACCCCATTGATAAAGCAAGAAATTCCACTAATTAACCCTGATAAGGCACACCTGTGAAGTGGAAACCATTTCAGGTGACTACCTCTTGAAGCTCATGGAGAGAATGCCAAGAGTGTGCAAAGCAGTAATCAGAGCAAAGGGTGGCTATTTTGAAGAAACTAGAATATAAAACATGTTTTCAGTTATTTCACCTTTTTTTGTTAAGTACATAACTCCACATGTGTTCATTCATAGTTTTGATGCCTTCAGTGAGAATCTACAATGTAAATAGTCATGAAAATAAAGAAAACGCATTGAATGAGAAGGTGTGTCCAAACTTTTGGCCTGTACTGTATGTAAAAAGATTTGACATACTGTTGAAATACTTTAAAAAAACTACATGCAACTCTCCGAAACTCTCAACAAAACAAAAGCTACTCTCTAAATACTTCAACAACAACCTGAAGAACTGTTCACATTCTTTAAAAAAACACATAGTACTTCAAAAAGGACAAACGATTTAGAAACAGAAGCTTCTCTCCTAAAACAAAAAACAAAAAAAACATGGCACATCTGGAAACCACATGGTACTCTCCACACTTCTCAATAAACACAAGGTTCTCTCCAAGTACTTCAAAAACTGTCAACCAAACATGAAGCTCTGTCCTAATACTTCAAAAAAACACATGGTGCTCTCCAAGCACTCCAAGACACACGTGGTACTCTACGAAGACTCAAAAAATTGTACTATTTGAATTACTAACAGAAGACAAGGAAAAAAAAACACATGGTACTCATCAAATTCTTCAGCAGTTCATAAAAAACAAAGTGCTGTCCAGATTTCTTCAAAACAAAACAGCAGATATAATTCATGTACACAAATGTCTGAGCACCAGTACTGACTCACCTGTCTGTGTCTCCTCAGGTGGACAACTCGTCTGTGATTGAAATTGACTTCATCCGCTCTGATATCTTTGAGGAGGTGTTGAACTACATGTACACCGCAAAGATCTCTGTGAAGAAGAGAGACGTCAACCTCATGATGTCATCAGGACAGATCCTCGGCATCCGCTTCCTCGACAAACTCTGCTCCCAGGTAACACTGACACAGGTGACACTGACACAGGTAACACTCACACAGGTGAAACTGACACAGGTGACACTGACACAGGTAACACTCACACAGGTGACACTGACACAGGTGACACTGACACAGGTGACACTCACACAGGTGACACTCACACAGGTGACACTGACACAGGTGACACTGACACAGGTGACACTCACACAGGTGACACTGACACAGGTGACACTCACACAGGTGACACTCACACAGGTAACACTGACACAGGTGACACTGACACAGGTAATACTCACACAAGTGACACTGACACAGGTAACACACAAATTTACCAGTTTTTGTTGTTCACCTGTGTGTGTTGTTTACCTGGGGGGTATTCCAAAGCGGGTTTAGTGAAAACTCTGAGTATGTTAACCCTGAGATGAGGGAAACTCTGGGTTTTCAGTTCCAGACAGAGAGGTAAGTCAAACTCAGTCAATCACCATGGCAACTGACTCTGTGAACCTAACCTGCTCGCTGGCAGGTTTTCTATAAGAAATCCTGAGTTCATTCTGTGTCCTCCCTACTGCTGAGCCTGAAGCAAGCTGGCAGACACACATGGGCTGTTCGTATATAGGAAATCTGATCAATATCGAGGCAGAATTAATTCACAATGCTTTACGCTGGGAGAGGATCTTCAGACCCCGTTTAGATGTGCTGTCTTTCCACAATGAATATCTGTTTGAACCGTACTGTTTTTCATCAGACTCAATCATTTACCGGCCACACATATCAAATCTGACACACTGCAGACGTGCGCTCTCATCAGAGCAAATGTTTTTCGTGAACGGTAGCTTTTTATATGACATTGGTGGCCTACAGTACATAATGACATAGCCACTGAATGACAGGCTATTGAAGCTACTTTGTTTAATAAATCAAATATGAATCAAACTAAAGGAAGGTACAGTCATGGCCAAGTCAAATATGTCTTACCTGTTTGAATGATGTTTTTATATTTCATTTAAAGCTGCTTCCAAGTGTGTTTTTCCCCTGTGAGATTGAACCTACATGAAAAACAGATTTTATTCAAAACGCTTTTTCACCTGTAAGCTATGATTTTAATTAAGTGTGGTTAAATGTAAATTAATGGCAGGGCTCTCTAGTTTTGATGTCATATGTGACGCCTGGTCTATCCACTGAGCCACTAACATCCCTTTGAAGGAGATCCTGCTTGATAAATTTCCCATGCTGCCTCTCTCTCCTTGGCAGCTTTAGTGCTGCTACTTTGTTTATGAAATATATGCTCATATTCGTTGTAGGCATTCATGAGCACCTCCAATTCCACAGGTGTAAAATAAGTTGATCGCTTTTTCTCTCCGGTTGCCATGGTGACTCCAGGTATCGGGGCTCCACTGATGATGGCTTAATATTGTGGTTGTGCACGTGCTTAACTCAAGGTGTACCTACTCAGAGTTGACTGAACTAATTCAAATCAGCTGTTCTGGAACCGGATAATCAGAGTGTCCCAGCTCAGGGTAAGTCAAGTCAGAGTTCAAGATTAGACTCAGTTTGTTGAACCTCCTACCTGGAATACCCCTCTGGTGGTTAGTCACACAGGTTAAGATCTTCCTTCAGTGTGATGATGTGTTCATGTTTCCTCAGAAACGAGACATGTCATCAGAGGACAAAGAGAAGTTTCCTTATGACATCGTAAAGATGGCGCTGCCGCCTGAGGCTCAGCTGGCTGCTGACGCTGAGGTAATAATGAACTCACTGATTAACCTGAACACTTATCAATAAGATCTATCACACTTGATTCAACATATTATGCTGAAACATTATCATGAGTGATGATGATGTGTGTGTGTGTGTGTGCGTGCGCGTGCACACGCAGGTGCTCGGCGAGCACGATGACACTCCCACCACAGAAGACCTGGTCGAGGCGTCTGCCAATCAGGAGCTGGATAAGTCTCCGAGTGCAGCACTGCGCGTCCAGGAAGCCATCCTGAAAGAACTGACCAATGAGGATGTACACAAGGTACACACACACTTGTCTTTCTGTACTTGTGAGGACCCTGTCGACATGATGCATTCCTGAGCCCCTAAACTTAAATGTCACCTGTACGTTAAAACAAAGTCTGAACCTTCAACAAGCCCTTTACTGAGGGCCACACAGAATGTCCTCACAATGTACAAGTGTCCTCAGTACTATGGTTAAAGGCTAAAATTTGTCCTCACAAGATAGCGATTCAAGGCCTCTGATACCTCAAAACAGGTAACCATTGGTAAACAGCACATGTCACCTCTCCAGGTGACCTGCTACGACCAGGATGTGGTGACAGAAATGGAGGCGGAACCTAAAGAGCTGGGGGCAGAGCACCATGCCACACAAACGCTGACATTTGCAGACAGTATGGGGGAGGTGAAGGACGAGCAGCCGCCCGGCTGGTCGACAGCCACGACCGACATGAAGTTTGAATATCTGCTGTACGGACACCGAGAGCAGCTCGCCTGCCAGGTGTGTGGGAAGACCTTCCTGGACGAGAGCAGACTCAGGTACAAAACATCTGGTCAACATGGTCAACACACCTGACCAACACACTAACGCACCTGACCAACACACTAACACACCTGACCAACACACTAACGCACCTGACCAACACACTAACACACCTGACCAACATACTAACACACCTGACCAACACTCCAACACACCTGACCAACACACTAACACACCTGACCAACACTCCAACACACCTGACCAACACTCCAACACACCTGACCAACACACTAACACACCTGACCAACACTCCAACACACCTGACTAACACACCTAACCAACACACCAACACACCTGACTAACACACCTGACTAACACACCAACACACCTGACCAACACACCAACACACCTGACTAACACTCCAACACACCTGACCAACACACCTGACCAACACACCAACACACCTGACCAACACACCTGACTAACACACCAACACACCTGACCAACACACCAACACACCTGACCAACACTCCAACACACCTGACTAACACTCCAACACACCTGACCAACACACCAACACACCTGACTAACACTCCAACACACCTGACCAACACACCAACACACCTGACCAACACTCCAACACACCTGTCCAACACACCTGACTAACACACCAACACACCTGACTAACACTCCAACACACCTGACCAACACACCTGACTAACACTCCAACACACCTGACCAACACACCTGACCAACACTCCAACACACCTGACCAACACACCTGACCAACACTCCAACACACCTGACCAACACACCTGACTAACACTCCAACACACCTGACCAACACACCTGACTAACACTCCAACACACCTGACCAACACACCTGACCAACACTCCAACACACCTGACCAACACACCTGACCAACACTCCAACACACCTGACCAACACACCTGACCAACACTCCAACACACCTGACCAACACACCTGACCAACACTCCAACACACCTGACCAACACACCTGACCAACACTCCAACACACCTGACCAACACACCTGACTAACACTCCAACACACCTGACCAACACACCTGACCAACACACCAACACACCTGACTAACACTCCAACACACCTGACCAACACACCTGACCAACACTCCAACACACCTGACCAACACACCTGACCAACACTCCAACACACCTGACCAACACACCTGACCAACACTCCAACACACCTGACTAACACACCTGACCAACACACCTGACTAACACTCCAACACACCTGACCAACACACCTGACCAACACTCCAACACACCTGACCAACACACCTGACCAACACTCCAACACACCTGACTAACACACCTGACCAACACACCTGACCAACACTCCAACACACCTGACCAACACACCTGACTAACACAACACACTTGACTAACACACTAACACACCTGACCAACACACCTGACTAACATACCAACACACCTGACCAACACACCTGACTAACATACCAACACACCTGATCGTTCTGTCTTCAGGAAACACGAGAAGCTTCATTCAGCAGAGCGCCCGTTCGCCTGTGAGATCTGCACCAAAGCTTTTACCACCCATGCTCACCTGAAAGGTAAAATAACTCCTTAAAGGGATAGTGCACCCAAAAATGAGAATTCAGCCATTATCTACTCATCCATATGCTGATGGAGGCCCTGGTGAAGTTCTCACATCCCTTGCAGAGATCGGCGGGGGGAGCGGCTAGCACACCTAATGGCTGACGGTGCCCGACTAACGTCCAAAAACACAAAATTGAATCCACAAAATATCTCCATACTGCTCATCCATAGTGATCCAAGTGTGCTGCAGCCCCGACATAAAAAGTTGTTTGGAAAAACGTCATATGAACTCTGTTTTTAGCCTCACTGTAGCCTGTAGCTCTGACTGCTTCTCTGTGCACCGCGCTCACATGTGTGTGCTCAGGGTGATCGGTGATGCACGGTCTCTGAAGAGCAGCAGTCTCGTCAGTACTGATGTCCAGATTCTCAAGTGCAGGCATCGCCAATTCCCAGTCTGAGCAGCAAAGACTTTCCTCATCTGTTGGCATTGCTTTGTATTTGAAACAACTACACCACCAGGTTTCCAGTGCTCAACTCCGGTATTCTGTGGCTGGCTGAGGGTTAGGCTCATGAGCTGCGGCGGCTGCTTCGTCCAGTAGCCTGAGTTCCCTCCGTATACTCGGGCTCAAACAAATACGGCTCAACAAAGAAATGCTGTTCCTCCTCAGTTTCAAAGTCTTCAGACATGTTGGGCTGTCCTTTGCTAAAAGACTGTAGTGCAAATGATCTTTTAGCTCTGTGGTTACCGTTGTCTCCCCCTGCGGTGCACGTGTCACGTGATGTAAACACGGGTGAGCAAAACTCATGCTTTCACTGGTCTCGTGCAGGCGCGCACACGTGAGCGCGGTGCACAGAGAGGCAGTCAGAGCTACAGGCTACAGTGAGGCTAAAAACAGAGTTCATATGACGTTTTTCCAAACAACTTTTATGTCGGGCTGCAGCACACTTGGATCACTATGGATGAGCAGTATGGAGATATTTTGTGGATTCAATTTTGTGTTCTTGGAAGTTAGTCTGGGGCGCCGTCTGCCATTAGGTGTGCTAGCCGCTCCCCCCACCGATCTCCGCAAGGGATGTGAGGACTCTAAAAATTCACCAGGGCCTCCATCAGCATATGGGTGAGTAGATAATGGCTGAATTTTCATTGTTGGGTGCACTATCCCCTTAACACACCTGTACTCAGGTACATTCACCTGAGCTCAGTTATCATCAGATAATTGTACCAACAGTGTAAAGCTTCAGATAATAGAGATGATGGACAGGTGATATTTGACACTGAGGTGAACGTGTGTTTCAGAACACCTGAAGATCCACACAGGCTTCAAACCGTACAGGTGTGACGTTTGTGGGAAATCGTTCATACGAGCTCCAGACCTGAAAAAACACGAACGAGTTCACAGCAATGAGAGACCGTTCGCCTGCCAGATGTGTGACAAGGTGAAGCTCACCTGTCTGTCTGCCTCTTATGTGTCTGTCTCTATTATCTGTCTGTCTGTCTCTCACCTGTCTGCCTGCCTCTCACCTATCTGTGTCTCACCTGTCTGTCTGTCTGTCTCTCACCTGTCTGTCTGCCTCTTACCTGTCTGTCTCTTACTTGTCTGTCTCTATTATCTGTCTGTCTGTCTGTCTCTCACCTGTCTGTCTCTATTATCTGTCTGTCTGTCTCTCACCTGTCTGTCTGCCTGCCTCTCACATGTCTGTCCGTCTTTCACCTGTCTACCTACCTCTCACCTGTCTGTCTGCCTGCCTCTCACATGTCTGTCTGTCTCACCTGTCTGTCTGCCTGCCTCTCACATGTCTGTCTGTCTCTCACCTGTCTGTCTGCCTGCCTCTCACGTCTGTCTGTGTCTCACCTGTCTGTCTCTCACCTGTCTGTCTGCCTGCCTCTCACCTGTCTGTCTGTGTCTCACCTGTCTGTCTGCCTGCCTCTCACATGTCTGTGT